CTGCTCCCTTCGCCCTCCGACATGACCCCCACCCCGGACACACAGTGCACCCCCCGCCCGGGCCGCGGGGGAGCTCCGAGTCCGGGATGGACCAGACCTCCCCCCCACCACCCCAAATCAGACTCCAGACCCAAAGTTTCCAGCAGGCTTCTCCTGCCACAATGAGCCCGCAACCTCTTCCCTCCCCCCCACCCCTGCATCTCCATGCACTGCAAGACGTGGTGCTCACGGCTGGTCAGGGTCCAGCTAAGGGCCTCGGGGCTGGGGTCTGTGCCTCGCTCCAGCCTTCTCCTGGATGGGTCCACCTGTCTCCTGGGGGGGAGGTGGCCACGAGCCCCCCTGCTCAGCCCTGCAGGCCCAGCTCCTCCAGGTCCCTGACTGCACCCATCTGTCTTCAGGGGCTGTAGGGTCACGGCCGTGGTGCAGGGGACCCACTGCCTGCGCCCCACTGCAGGGCAGACGGTGCCAGGGGAGCAATTTGCTTCCTTCAGCCTGGGACAAGGGGGAACGCAAGGCCGGGAGCGCAGCTCCCCCCGCTCCCAGGCCCCCATGTGAGTCTGGGTGACGCTCCTCTCTGCACCCCAGCTCCCATCCCCTGGCCCCTGCTCCCCCAGGAATGCAGAGGACCCCCTCGCCCCCCACAGTAGGGCCCAGCTGGACCACGAGTCAGCCTGGTTCCCAAACGCCAGGCGGCCAGGAGCTGCTACCTGGGCCGGACCCCATCAGCCCACCCCGCCTGCAGTCCACAGGGGTGTAATATTGCATCCGAGAATCTCACAGCATTAGATGGCGGTCAGCATCGTTGCCCCCATTGTACAGATGGGGAAAACTGAGGCACAGAGAGGTGAAGTGACGTAGCCAAGGTCACTTAGCAGCAGAGCCAGGGATACAGCCCCCATGTCGGGGCGCCTAGGCCTTGCCTGGCTCTCACCACTGGGGAACCGTCCCCTTCCTGGATCTGGGCACAGGAGTCCTAGCTCCCAGCCCCCCTGGCTCTCACCACTAAACCCCTGCCCAGGAGTCCAGACACTGCCCTAACCACTGGACCCCGCTGCCGCTCGTCCCGCCGATGCCTTCCAGAGCTGCGGCAGCTCTGGCTGCAGTCGGCTCCCTCCCCTTCCCCCCCCGGCCCTTCACCCCAAGAGAAGGGGGGGCCGGGGCTGGAGCCGGAGGGGTCCCGGCTGCAGGGCAGCACCAGGCGGTGGCCGCGGCGTCACTCCAGCACGGCCGACTCGAGGAGTTTGACTATACAGGGCTTTACAGAACAAAGCTACCAGGATCAGCCACACAATGGCCAGACATAGGTGG